GTTATGTTTCCTCATCGGCTAGGCTTACCTCACAAAAGATCCCTGAAGAGTCTAGTGGCTGACTAGGTACTGAGAATCATTCAGGATGATGGTAAGAACCCTTCTGCTTGTAATTAATATCAGGATCCTAAGTCTGACTTGACTGAACAAACCATAAGGTCCATAGCGAAGGTCTTCTGTCTAAAATGCTTATGACATGTTCTCTATAGATTCTCTGAATCCATGGAGACTAACGCATCTGCTTGTGTAAAAAGCATTACATGCCCATTGCTTGGTAGAATCCTGGGTGTTCACGGCAATTACACTGAGAATAGTAGCCAGGTAATTGTCCGGCAAGTTGCCTAGTCTTTGAATTTGTACATGAAACTCGTTAGGACGGAGATCTAATTCCTTTCTAAATTTTGCTGTGTACGTCTTTTAATATGTGCTTTTCATTAAACCAAATGAGATTCTAAAGTTGATTAGGTCCAGGTTATCTCACCCAGGGTAGATTGTGTGTGTGTGTGTGTTGTTGTTAGAAGTATAGTTCAAATTCAGTAGGTTCATTATCTTGTGCTTGCTTTATACCAGATTGGTATATCTTGCTCTCAGAACTTTTTTAGTGACTTTTTGGTTTTTCTGATGAAATACACACAACTTTAATCAAGTACAAGTATAGCCACCAACTATGCTGTTAGTGGCATTGCTATATGCACAGTTTACCAGTGTCTGGCTTGGAATGGAGGTTAGTTACTCTATATATTCATGTATACCCATATAGATTCCACTTATGCACAAGATAGAAAAGAAAGTTAATTTTGAATATGCTAAAACTGTTATAATGCTATGTTTCTAAAGATACTTAAGATATGGCATGCTCCTCTGATTATGTCATTAATTGTACAAAATACAGATTTTTTTTCCTGGTCTTTATTCTTTCATTCTAAGCCTGCTAGACACTAATGCCATCTTGCAGAGGGTCTTTAATTTCTATTATCTGCTTTCTTAAAAACATATCTCAAAGTATTCCCACAAAATTCTATTATAAAATTTGTAATGTGTTCTATTGAAAACTATCTTGAACCATGGACATAAAAATTTCACTTAACAAAATATAGCCTATTTAAAGCAAAATCTCCTAAAAGTTATATACAATAGTTTTCTCAGGATAAGACACAAAGAAATGACAAATGTTATTAGAAGTGTTGGTCACCATAGGATTTTTCTCAATCTCAGACGTCTTTTATTCTCACCAGAACTGTAGGCTTTATATTTTGGGTAAATTTTATCTACTTTTTAAAATGTTGTAATCCTGCATTTAATGTCATTCTTTTCTTAGAGAAGCGTACTTTTTCTAGCATTTCATATTTCCCCCTCCTTGCCAGATGTCTGTCCTTCAGAGATGTCCACCACTTTGTTCTTGTATCTCCTTGGAAAAGAGGTATGTGGAGAAGGTACCAGTGTGCTGTCCACCAACAGCAAGGTAGTGACAGTGTGACAGGTCACACTACACAGAAAACAGGAGATGTTTGTTTTATAATGATTTATATGAAACATCTATAAAGCAACCATTAGGGGTTGTTATAGATGTTAAGCAGTCATATTTTGGTAAGCGGCCAGTGTTGGTTTTGTTATAAACAACCTCAAGGCTTTGTTTTGAGAACATTCATGGGTAACATCGCAGATATAGTGATCTTATGTCTAATACATTATTTTGTATTTGGAGGTCACCGTTCAAGTGGAAATGCTGCCTTCTGCATGGAACTGGTCCTCTGGAAGGTAAAAGAAGATCTGAAAGGAAAGAAGAAATCACTTTCCCCAAGAATATTTGAATCGCTACTTTGTTGTTTCATGGACTCCTCTGGCATCCACTGCTGGCAGTAGAGTTTGGTCAATAATGGTATGAGGTTTCTTGACAGTTTCAAAGAAAGCGGAAGAGGAAAAGTGCCGTTGAGGTTTATTTATTACATTTTAAAGGTTAAATTGCCACAGTGATTTCCAAAGTTGTGACTGGGCGGTGTGGGGAGAAATTAAGTTGGTTTCAATTTTTGACTTACCTTCATAGGTAGTGTGCAAATAACAGTGGAAGGTGGTTTAAAGTTGAATTAATAGGTCGGTGACATTCATAATGGTGGTTTCTCAGGTTACCTACATTTTTTCTCTCTAAATACCTAAAACCATCATACTTCTTAGGAGTTGCAGTTTTGTTAGGTAAAGATTTTTTTAAAGTTTTTTTTTAAATCTCCTTACAGGATATGTGGAAGTAAATGTAAACTTTTCAATGCACCCTATTAACATAAAGGTTTTGGCTGTTTGACTATTGAGAATGTGTTTTTATTCTAACTGGTGTGCTGTTACTTAATTTTAATTCGTATCAACAACTCACTGATTTTTTTTTAAAGGCAGTGTCCTATGGATCTTTTTTTTAACTTTTTTTTAATAATTTTTAATTTTTTTTTACTATTTAGGCAAATTAACCCTTGGTTGACCTCACAGATTACAAGGACCTTGTCAGCTTACAGTCCCTTATTTTTTAAGTTTTTACACCTACAGTACCTGGTCTTCCTAGGTGGTCTCCTATCCAAGTACTAATAAGGCCTGACCCTGCTTAGCTTTCGCGATCAGACGGGATCGGGCTTGTTCAGGGGGGCGTGAATCTTTTAAACACAATAAGTTTTAATCTATATTCCCAATTCCTGAATTGTCTAATCTCTTTGAGGGGTTCTTTCTTAATTGCTCTTTGATAATGTGGAAGCTACATGACTTTATTCAATTTGACAGTTTACCTTTGGGTATAAGTCCATGAATCTTCAATGTGAATGAATGCAGCTAACATGCGATAGAATGTCAGAGGTTTCTTTGACAATGATATAGGTGAGTCACAGAGTAATCAACAGTGTGGCTCTTTCAGAAGTAAATTAGTCACCTTCTGACAGTTGATAGTGGTGATATGCCCTCAGTAAGCATACCTCAGGTTTTCTGCCTTGGTATTGTGAATTTACAAGTAAATCATAAATATACCTAGCCATCTCTTTTGTCAGGTACTTGATGTGAGATAAATGTATAATGATGTATACTATTTGAAATAATTAAAAAATTATAAGCAAGTTCAAACTATAATAGGAAAAAATGTATTGTGCGTCCCAAAACCATATGCAAAGTTATCTGTATGTTTGAGATCATCCTTGTTCTTATTCAGTTCCATGTACATGCAAACCAAGAGTTATCACTCTATATCACTTGGGTAGAAAATAGAAAGAACTATTATACAGTTGAGTTCCTGAACACAGGTATGAACTGTGTAGGTTCACTCACTTACATGTGGATTTATTTCAACAAATACTAAAATGCATTTTTGATTTTCTTAATTTTCTTTTCTCTAGCTTGTTCTGTTGTAAAAATATAGTATATAATGCATGTGTTGTTATGTGTTCATCGGCTTTATGTTACCAGTAAGACTTTAGGTTGACAGTAGGCTATTTGTTTTTTGAGGAGTCAAAAATTGTATGTGGATTTTCAACTGCACAGGGTCGGTACCCCTAAACTTCCCCTGAGTTATTCAAAGGTCAACTGTATTTAGACCTATTTTTAATGGCTCTTCATTTGAGTTTCCACTTGATTAAATAATTGGTATACCAGTAGTCTTGCTTTTCGCTCTGTCTCCATGTGAATATGCTGTTGTGAATGAGGAGCCTTTGGGATAAATTTAGTTTTCTGGCCATGATTTCTGAATACATAGGTTGACTAGACGGTAGGAATATAGAACTTTATGTGATATGTTGACTATTTAACATCATAACAATTAAAAGGGAGTCCAGTCCTAAGCTCTGTTCTCATTGAAACACGACAGCACACTGCAAGAAGATGGACTAGACAGGCGGACACTTCTAGAAGTCATTCCTGAGCTTGTGAGCTTGACATGCCATGTCAAGTGGAATATGGCCACCGACTCTTCTACATACCTATTACTGACAAGTTGGAGGATGATACATTAAGATGTTTTTCTCTAAAGTATCACAAAAACATTTGGTAATACCTGAGACACATTCCTGCACAAAAAAATGTTGGTAGGCAAGACATTTATTATTTACTTACTATATGATCTTAGTGTAACATGTGCCTACAGTATAAATAGTAAGCCTATAACTGATCGAAACAGTTTTTATGATGTACAATACATGTAAGGATGTTAATTTGGTATGATTAATGTTACGTGTCTCCCAAATATAACTCCAGCCTTCCTATTTTAATTTCTTAAAATACACAAATCAATGTTACCAAAAAAACTAAAACCAAATCCCATTAATTTTTTAAAACTTATTTATGTAAAACCTAAAAAGGTCTTAGGCATGTAAGGAATGAGATTTAAGTCTTTTTAGATGTTTAACATTCTGACTGACTAGTGGGCTCTGGAAATACATGACAAAGTTTTCAAATGAGCCAGTGAAATTCAATGGCTTCTACAGATGAGGGAGAAAATTTAGGGATAGAAGAATCCGCTTTATATCACTTGGATTTTCAGTCTCTTAAATGTTAACCTATGTCCTGTTAGAACTTATACATTTCCCTCCACTTTTCTTACCTGTGCTGTCAGGGTCAGTGTTAAGTCTGTTAACAATATTTTACTTCTCTACAGCAAAATATTTCATAGCAATCAATATAAATGTAAATATCAAAAATATCTAGGACAGTAATGAATTATGCATTACAGTAATTGTACTCTCACACCTACCTTTAAAATCCACATATTTAGAAAAATATATTATTGCATATGAAACCACAAACAGGCATTCTAATTTCAGCACATTCTTACTCAAAACAGTATATACAGTTCTATTAGAGTCAGAGTGTACTATAAATTCACACACAGGGGTTTTTGTGATGAAAGTCCCAGACGTACAGCAATATATATACACTTCTCTATTCTATGTCACCTCTCTTGGCAGAGGCTCGCATGCTTCCTTGGCATCAAGGATGTCTCCTGCTGGAGGGGAAACAATGTTAGATGATGATGGTCTGTCCTAGGCCGCTTCTTCAGCAGAGCAGTCGATCCCTGCGTAGGTAAACTTCTCATAAAGCGTGGTATTCACGTAGGTCTAGAAGAACAAGAGTGATTCAGAGACACGGGCTGCCTCAGTACTGCCTCTGCTGGGGGCAGTTACGGTAAATACCCTGGTTTCCTTGGCTTATTTCGATTTAAACACTAGGTACTTGGGGGACAGTTTTCTGTCCTCAGTTCCTCTTTTGTATTTGACAGCTTTCTTCCTGAAATGCATCCCTTGACTCCTGCCAGTCAGATTTCATCCTCTCGCTTTGCTTGGTTTCTGAGCTTCTCTTTCTCACTGTCCTCATTGGTCCCTCCTGAAAAGTTCCACTTCTTTTAGGCTCCTCCCTCTGTCCACTTCTCATCCTCACTTTTCCCTGTGCGATTGCACCCATATCTCTGGTGCAGTTACCACTTGGGCTCTGATGACTTTCAAAATGTATTTTCCTAAACTAGATTAGTCTTTTGAACTCAATACATTCACATTCAGCCACCTAACTTCTAGGAGTTTTCTATGGAACTCCTGGCCCTCCCCCCAGTAGCCTGTAGACCAGGCTCTGTTGTCTACCTGCTCTGTGCCCTTGGGCAAGTCACTTTTGCCTCTGTTGAGACTGTTTGAGACTGTTTCCTCATCTATAAAATTAAAGGGTCAGGCTACACGATTGATAAAATTTAAGATTCCTCCTAGCTCAAATAGACTAATTCTAAATGTTGTTCTACTGTGTATGACTACATCTTGTATAGACATCTTATTTCCTCCAAAATTGTAATTGTCTCAGAGTTGGGGACCACATCTTTTATGTCCCTATAATACCTAAGGCTATGTCAAGGAGAACCTGACGTAATTGAATTATATCAGCTTTCTATTAACTACACTGGGCACATGAGAAATTCGAATGAAAATGCCCCTGCTTTGAATGCCATACTCACCTTTCGTTCTTCTAACATCCTGTTTAAGGACACCAATATCTGGGCAAACGAGGGCCTCTCATAGGGCTTCTCCCGCCAGCATTGTCTCATTAGATCATACCTTTGAAAACAGAATTAAAGGGTTAACTCTATGCCTGTGCTAGAGTCCCGGGCATGGCCAAGCATAGGGTATGCAAAAAAGAGAAGAGAATATTACCATTCAACACACAATCATTAAGCTTAGCCAGCAGAAGACAAAGGTGCAGCACCTAGAAAGTGTCTGTGAGGCCTCCCGCCTCGCTAAGTCCTCTTTCTTCTCAGTGGACCCAGTGCCTGCCACAGGCACCATTTCTTCAGAACCTTGGCCTCAGCTATTCTGATCATCTGGGAGGAGCTGAGTCATGTTTCTAGGGCAGCATTTATCTCCCTTGGGATACTGCATCCCTCAACATGTTAGAGTTCTGTTTTAAAAAATGGCTTCACGCTCAAACAAATTTACAAAACGCCACCTATTGCATTTCCCTCTGGGACTGGCGTCAAATCCGGGGAATTCCTGCCATTAAAAACAAACAAAATCCCGGTTTAACCAGTTTTGACATGATACTTCCCATACATAATTGACCACAGAGCTTCTTTCCCCGTATCATTTATTTACATCTTGCACGTTCCATGAACATAGTTTGGGAAGCACTGGTCTAAGGCAATACTTTCTCAAATTTGCCTGGAAGTACTTGCATTATTAAAATGCAGGTTTCTGGGACCCACACACTGGACTACAGAACCAAAACGTCTGGGAGTGAGGCTCAAGATTTCACAAACTAAAGAAATGCCTCAGGGGAAACTACATACACAGAAGGCTGTCAACCACTGGCCTCGGGGGACAGATTCTAGAACAGTTTGTACTTTACCAGAAGTTTCATAATGAGTGAAAAATCTCACTCCTCATGGAATGAATCTTAAAAGGTGGGATTTTAGGGACTGTCCAGTGCTGATGGTTCAAGTACATTTCATTTGCCTAGGTTGGAATAGTTTAAGTCTCTTGTCCCAGGAACATAATAGCACCCTCTTTTACTCTTGGCAATGGCTCAGCATAGACAATAAGTTATTTCTTCACCCTAGAGCCTTTCACTCTTCAAATCAGGCTAATTAGGCAGCTTCTAACCTCTGCTAAATTCAGGGAATTCTGGTATCACTGAAGTTTTTCATTTTTCCCCTTGGAATAATTCTTACTCCTGGAAAATGATCTTAGTAGAATCAAAATTCTATGAAGAAAAATCTATCTTCCTTAATGTAACAGCTCTGAAATCATTATCCTCAAAGTTAGCCTCAAGGCATTTATTTATTCATGAATAATTTCATCAATTTGTTTCAGATCTTTTCTGCATTTGTTGACCTTCCTCATTTCAACCTTCCCAAGAATCATCACCTTAAATGTCTCCCAATTTCACCATAAATATCTATGCCTAGAAAGCAATTCTTACCTGCTCATGCGTAACAGTCTTAGTTTAAAAAGCCTTCTTTTTTTCTAGGTATTTGCAATCTCAGTGTCTGTGGGTATGTGTATACATACATATAGGTATATGTGTATGAATCAGCTAATTCCTTCATTAGCGGCAGTCTGTACACGAAACACGCAGCAGGAGGGTTAAATAAGATGAGGCCTGACTTACACCTCGTCATCACAGTTTAGGGGCTTCTCCAGTCTGTAGCCCTGGGGCAGCTTTTCGTAGAGTTCTGCACACGTCATCCCGCAGTAGGGGGTGCCACCTGGAAGACAGAACCGGTGTTGCCCTAAGGCTCCTCTGGTGCTGGTGCAGAAGGCAAAGTCTTCTGCCCAGGGGCCAGAAGCCAGGAGCCTGGGAGAAAGATGGGTGTGTCAGGGGGTGCACTGAGCATGATCTTGCTCTTTGAGCGAACCCACTGTACGTCAAAGCTGGACTACAAACCTACAAAGGATAAACTACAGACCGTACTGCAGTGTGGCCGTTCCTTCAGTGGAAAGATCTACTACGGGGTTCCTGACTTACAGGGCTATTTTTCTTCCCCAAGTCTGTCTACAAACAGCACATCTGTACCTTTTCCTTAATTAGAAGTCTATAGTTATGCAATTCCTATTGTATCTATAATTTTAATTATAAAAGAAATGTTTATTGTAGAAAATTTGAAAAGATTAAAAAAAATCATGAAAAAATGCAATAGCTTTTGTTACCTTTCTGTGTAGTCCCTTCAAATTTTTAAAAGTGTAATATTTATAAAACTAGGACCATGATGTATGTACATTTTTTTGGCATGTACATTTTCATAGGCTATTAGCTTTCAAATTGTGGCTCTTATTGGTTGTATAATGTACCATTTTTAAGTTGTGGGAGTAAACCTGCAATAGCTCTATGACATCTTTGCACCATCAGAGACAGCTAATCTATATCAGATATCCGAGTTCATGTTCACCATGGTTGGTGGGTGTGTTGTTAGTATAGTGGTTGTTAGTATCGAATATGACATAAGCTGTAGGGCTTTCAAAAAGAGAAATGTGTGAATAAAACACACTTATACATTGAAACTCATAAAGTTCTCTTTCCAAGTCACATCTGGTGACACCACATACAAACGATACCCTTGGAATTATACAGTGAGGGAGCACAGGAGGGGCCTGGGCCTTTTGCCTGGAGTTTCACCTGGGAGAGAAACGGATACTCACCTAAGCTAACAATCTCCCACAGTAACACTCCATAAGACCATCTGTGGAAGGGAAATAGAGAAACCAATAAACAGGTGGAACAGTCAATTCTCTGCCCTCAAAACCAGGATGACTGGTCCTTTGTAAGGAAAGAAAATATTAAAAGTCTGCTCACTGGGATAGGTCCATGCACACAGCCTGTGTTTATCTCCTCTTAGGCCAATGGGAGGATTACATCAGGGAAATAGAGCTGCTAGAGGCCCCCCACCCCATCCAACTTACTTTAGGTAGAGAATGCAAGGTGGTACTGTAGGAAGCAGGTGAAATTCTAAGCCAGACAGATCTGAGTCCCACCGCTGCCACCTGATACTCATGTGACCTGGGATATGTTACCAAACCCCTGAGGCCTCTTAATATATTATTCTGAAAGTGGAGATACCAGTCTTCCTCAAAGCTATGCAGAGATGACATGGGATAACATATAAAAAACACCTTGCCCATGGTGAGGATATAGTAATTGCCAGCCCCTTCATCCCCACGCATAAGTGAAACCCCCTGGACAAGTCTCCTCCTGAAAATAGCAGGTGTGGGCAAGACGGCCTAAGTCTCAATCCCAAAGCTTCCTTCTCCACCAGCTTGAGACTTGCCGCTGTAGGCAGCAAGCAGAGGTGTCCTCCCCTGTCTGGCCTTCCTGCCACTTCCGACCCTCAGCAGCCATTCTGGGCTGCCTTCTCTGATCCAGGTCCTGTGCACGGAGCTGTCTGGGAAGTGGGGCCACAAGGCAGGCTGGCATGCCCCTTGCTCCTCTAGAGATCAAGCATTCACCACTTGCAATCTCTCCTCGACAAGCAGAAGGAAACATAAAGCCTGTCACCAATGATTTACACTCTGAAAACTGTTAACTCTGTGGCTTCATTTATTTTATGAATTCATTTCCTGGGCTTATTGATTAGTTTTATTCCCCAGAGGGACATAATATTCTTGCTTCTCTTTAAAACCTCTCTCTCTAAAAATACATCTTTTTCTTGGGAGGAAAAACCCTCAGCAATAAGAGGCTGACTCACACGTCACTGTTGGTTGTATATACGCTGTAATTTAGTGACTCGATCGCCATCCAACGCACCGGGAGCCTTCCCTGAAAAGAACAAAGTGAGACTCCACTTAGGCAGGTCAGAGCGGCTCACAAGGCTGGCAGCTTGCTCAAGGCTGCGGCTCACTCAAATCCACAGGGAACCCTATGTGGGATTCAGCAGAGTCAGGAGCTCTTGTTTTGTATGTGTTCCACCTACAACTGTGTTTTCAAATTCAAAGACATGCAAATATTGTAAGTTCTTGTACCTCATGGGGTCTCTACTGCAGTTTTATATAAAAAAAATGTGTGTGCGTGCGCGCTCGTGTGTGTGTGTGTGTGTGTGTGCGCGCGCGTGTGTGCGCGTTAAGTTTTATATAAAAAAAAATGTGTGTGCGCTCCTGCGCGCTCGTGTGTGTGTGTGTGTGTGTGTGTGTGTGTGTGTGTGTGTGAGAGAGAGAGAGAGAGAGAGAGAGAGAGAGAGAGACAGACAGACAGACAGACAGACAGACAGACACAATTTCTTTAGTGGTGTCTTTCTGAACTGCAAGCTTCTTGCAGGGAGCTTGTCCCTCTCCAATCCTTTCTCCTTTCCTCTCCTTTCCCTCGCCCTGTGCCTTTCCTCCCCAGACCCCATGCTGCCATGGAGCACTTTACCCTGCCATTAGGAAGCAGAGTTAAACCCTGACCAGTGTTCTGCCCCTCTAAGAATTCCTTCTAATTTTTCCAAGACTTCAGAAATCCCTGCCCTTGATGAAATGCCAAGCAAACCAGTGTTTGCCTTTAGGATCTGAGGAGATCATCCAAGTAAAATGCATAGGTTGTGGAGATAAACTATGTTTGTCCCTCCACCCCTTCATCTAGGGTACCACATCTCTCAAATGCAGGAACAAAGCAAGGAAAAGGGTTCTGTGAAAGAAACAGGTGACCAAGGAGGAGGGAGAAGAGCTGGAGTAGATGGGTGAGTGTTGGGTTTTGTTTCTTTAAGACAAGCTCAGCCCCCACCTGGAGAAATACCTGCTTTGAGTGGGGCAAATTCTGAAAAGCTTACGGAAAAAGTATTGCCTGGAAATCAGACCTCAGGGCGGCACA